CCCAGCGGCGGCGCCGGGCCGGCTCCCTTAAGCGGAGGCGCCTCCCGCCGCCTCCTCCCCCTCGCCGGTCCCTCCCTCTCAGCGCGCTCGGGCGAAGTTTGCACGTCAAGCCCCCGGAGTGGAGCCAGGGCGAAGTCGGAAACGCAGCCACCTATGGAAGAGGCCGGCCGGCCTACCGACCGGCCCGAAACACCGTCAACTGTGATCGACATTGGGCGCTCCAGACTGGGGTCCGGACCCGGGGCCCAGGGGCTGGTGAAGGGAACACTTTGCTCTCCGCTCTCTGGAGGCCGCGCAGCTGTCAAAAGCATGAATGGGAAGAAATCGCTGAGCGGACGCCCAGCTTATAGGAAATCACTGGCTGGCGAGGAAATGCGGCCCAGGTGCCGTCGGAAGCTCGGGGCTCACCCCTGGCCCACTACTGAAAGTCACAGAGCAGCGCCCAGAGTACTTGAACTTGTTCAATAATAGGAGACGACGTGAGAATAAGGTGGAGTGGAGAAGAGATGTTTTGAAGACAGGAACCGAAATTTCTCCATTTTCCCTTCCATTTCTCCTGAAAGTGACGTATTCACCCCAGGATTAAAAATCAGTCTTGCTATTTAAAATCGAACTCGCTTTTAAGCCTGTTAGTCTTTCCTTTTTATGGTTATAGTTTTTTCCCGGCAGGGCAGGAACCCAGGACATAGGGCAATGTGCAGCATTCCCAGAAATTGTGTTAGAAGACACTGTCTTCTGTCACATTTTGTTCACTAAATTAAGCACTGACCCACAAAACTTAGCACCCCTCCCCCCCAAAAAAAAGCACAGGCACGTGTGCAAAAGCTTTGGCTTGGCTTTTTGGGTCAAAATGGTAAAATAAAAGATTACTTAATGAATTAAAGTATGCGAAATACTTGAAACCGTAGCAGACCACACCAAGCACTTTAAGTGTTCTCATTTTTACTGTTTGAAGCTGATCATGAGATACAAACAAGGATTCTGATCATGTTTCACAAGGCAGTAATATCACACTCAAAGCTGCACCTAGGGTTGGAGAGAGGGGTTATAGATTTTTTATATCTGGAACATCTGGTGTTAAAGGGGACCGATTTCTGTGCTAAAAAAACAAAGTCCAAATTGCTTCCACACAAAGATGTTAAAAATGAGTAGAAAATAATAAATGCTGCTGCAACCTAAACTTAACTCAGTGTTCTTGCAGAGAGGGCCTGTGTGACAATAAGTGTGTAAAATAAGAGGGCGCGTTAGACAATAAGTGTGTAAAATTATTCCTGGATTACATACAGTCATAAGTTCCAAAAAGTGAAACTTTGGGTGTTTCCTGTTCTTATCTGAACAGTAAAAACAAAATAACCAAAAACAGTAGAAATGATGGGAAGAATAAAAAGTTCATTACCAAAGCTTTAACTTCCTACATATGAGTATCAATAAGAAAACACATGAATAAAACAATTGCTTTGGTAACAGGGTTCCTAACTTTTAATTCAGGTCCCCAATCTTAGATATCCCCAATGCAGACTTTCAATTTTTGATTTATCCTGAATCACTGACAAATCTATAAAATCCCATTAAAAAAAAAAACAACACCTCACTTCTGCTTTCAGGCAGACAGAGTAATTTATGATTTACTCTGAATTTTATAATTCTACATTTAAAATAAATAAACATTTGAATTTTAATGGTATTTGGAGCTGCCATTAAAAAGAAAAGTTTAGCCTCGCTGGTGGCACAAGGGATTAAAGCACAGCACTATGAAGCTATCCACCGCCACTGGGCCACTGCAGTTCCATCCTCTGATCCCTCATCAGAGAGCTGAACCAACTGGCACAGCAGACTTCAGTCTCAACCTGCTGCTTCCCTCAGCAGTGTATTTCAGTCAATCTGCCTGTTCTATTCCCTACTCTGTTTCTGGTGAATCCTCTCACCCCCCACACCTCTGGCCTATACCCCAGTTCGTATATGCATAAATAAATAAAACTACAAAACAAAAAAAAAAGCAAAGTTTAGGGTCACCTAGTTATAGATTAGATAGATCTATATAGATACCAAATGTAGTTTACCTACTGTGTATTGCCCTTCTGATTCCTGCATAAAGGAATGTGAGAGGAAGAATGCAATATGAAGTACTTCCTCAAAACACTGCTTGATTCCCTCTTTTGTACATGTGATAAAACCTCAAGATTCATAAATGACTTCCTACCAATGGGGGTCAATATGATCGGCGATTTACACTTCAACTTTTGTCCCTAAGCCTGCTTCATAACTTTTTTTGATTCGTTCAATAAACACAACAGGGCTTAAAGTGAAAAAATAGTAAATACCCTCCAAATATTAATGCTAGTTATTAAAACAAGTTACTACTAGTAGCAGTGATCAATTATTGAGCACTTACTAGGTGCCGAGCCTTGCCAAAAATACTTCATTATTTCAACTAATATTCACTATGGTGTAAAGTACAAGTTGTATTATTTATAATTTACAGACAAGGAAAATGAGGGAAGGCTCTGAGCTAGTTCCTATAAACTCCTTCTAAGGTCATATAGTAGCTGTCCCATTGACAAGTTATGTAATCTAAATAAGTTACCTCACTTATCATACCTCAGTTTCATAATCTGTAAAATACAGACAAAATGGGGCTTCTTTTCTGAGGATACCTTGAAAAGATTCATGGAAAGCACCAGGCAGAACTTAACATAAAATAAACACTTAGTAGAGTACATATGTCAAATGAGCAATTGAAGAAGCAAGTCTGATCTTCAAAATTTATTACCAAGTATATGGAGACCAAGAGAAAAATGGGCAATTTCTGGCATCTCCTCACTAATGCTCTTCTACTGTAGCCAGTTGATCACAATCTCTTTACCAATAAGAAATTCCTAACCCTTCTAGAAGGAAATGACAGTTTCTGATATCCACAGTTGGTTGGGATTTCCTAATAATTTGAATAAGTCATCAACAAGAGTCAAAACTGCTACCCTGGAAAGTGCAGTTTCCAAATATGATACTCAAATTTGGGCAACATTTTAAATATGTTTCTTATACAATGGGCACTTTATCTAAGTTTCCTCCTGTCATAAACAAAAAGTACAACAGAAACTCAATTACTTGATTTTACTACCAAGCCATAATAAAGAACCCAATCTCTTAATTTAAATAATCATTCTCAATACCCAAAATAATCCAATAAGAAAATGACCAACAATATTACGTTCATTTAATAATTATTTTAATATAGTAATATACATTACAGACTACCAATCAGTCCTCTTGTCAGTGTTCTTTTGATGATGTCTAATAGCTATGAGCCTCTTCAGTATCTGCCTGCAGAGATCAAGTACACATTATATATAAGGTTTGAATGATGAGGACTCAGATTTTCAAACAGTTCCTGATTCTCTACCATATATAAGGATATTCTGGTAGGTACCAGGATGAACAAACATAGTGATTATCATGAGGACATAAGAAGAGTAGGAAATAGGGGGTAAATTTAATTCATTAAAAAATATTCCTATGAATAAAGCCGTCACCACCAATTTGACTGTATGTAGCTTAAGAACTAGGCCATTAGAAGTGAAATGCTGCCAAATTCTGAACATTTCATCCCTTTCAGGGATGCATTTAAAATACAGCCTTACTTCACTGTCCAAATTTAGGGATGTTCCCAGTAGGTGCCAAGGGTAACAAGGTCTTTCTTTACAAAAAGGATTCTTTGCACAGCAGATTCACTTGTAAAATGCTTTGTTCAAAGAGCAAAAGCATCACTCAATGTAAAAAAAAAAGCAAAGTTGATGTTTTCAGATTTTAAATCCACTTATCAGGCTTAATGTAATATGGGTTTTGCCCAACTCATGAACTATTTTATATAGCCAACGAGATCTTTAAAATAAACAAATATAAAAGGCTAAAGTCAGCTAAAAGTTTCCTGGGGAAAGAACTCACAAAACCAGATTTTTATTTGGGAAAAAAACACTGGTCCAATGCAATCTTTTAATAAACTTGAAAACCAACAATGACCATGTATTATCTGTGCAAACTGGGAGTTGGTAACAGATTCTTCATTATCAATAGCCCAAAAGTGCAGTCATTTGAGTACCAAGAATCTTAGATACACTGAATTAAGAATGTATTGACTTTGGTTTCTATCCCTCTACTGAAACTGACTGAGCCATTGTTCTCATACTCTCTCCCTTACTGGTCAACTTCTTTTTTCCTTTCTTCTTTATATAGATCCAGGGTTCTCTTCTGCATATGGGGTACTGACAAGCAAGTCCCTCCTTAACCATACTCCCTTTTAGGAACTACCTTAGAGCCTGTCATGAATACAACAATATTCCAGTAAGGAGAGAACAAGTGGAAGGAAGAAAATCATCTAACTCAGTGGCTGAAAGAGCACAAAATCAAATGCAAAATAGGATAATAAGGATAGGTGCAAAAGTGGAGACTTAGAGATGAGGAGTAATTATCTTTATAAAGAATTAACCTGTGAGGGCCCTCCCTGGTGGCGCAGCGGGTTAAAGCACAGCATTAAGAAGCGAAAGCCACTTCCTCATGAGTTCGATCCCTGCCTGCCCCGGAGGTGACCACATGGCACGGCAGACCTCTCCTGACCCCGCCCGCTGCTTCCCTCAGCAGTGTGCTTCATTGATCTGCCTGTTCTGCTCCCCGGTCTCTCTCTGGTGTATCCTTTCACCCTCCACATCCTGGCCTGTACCCCAGTTCTGTATGAATAAATAAATAAATCTTAAAAAAAAAAAAAAAGAATTAACCTGTACATACTCATTCTATAGACTGAATTACTTGCTAACTTTTGGGTTATTGTCCTAATCATATATGTGTAGCTTCATATGAATTGTTACAACACAATCACCAGTAATGAGAAAGAGAAAGAAAAAATACACAAAAAGGTAATAAAATATAAGTTTAAACAGAATATTCCCTAAATGTCTCCAGGGATTTAAAAAATGATCTCTAGTTTTAAATTACTGACAAAGCTGATTTTAAATCTTGATTTAAAACTTTTCGGTTACATTGTTTTAAAAAAATAGAAATGTTTAAATTTTAGAAAAGAAATAGAAACACTAGACCAACATTCAGCTATAAAAAGAGGGTGACTGTATAGCTAAAATTCTAGTGCACTGCCTCAGATGCAATAAAATGCAAAGATTAATAAACACAGTTAAAAATAATTCACGATGTCACCTTTGCATGATACAGCTTTCACTGAGGTGGATGTAAGCGTTAATATTTTATGGACCTAGCAGTGAAGAGCTTAGGTTCTAGAGTCAAACTGTTGGGTTGAATCCCAGTTCTATCACTTAGTACTTAGTAGCTGTGTAACTACATGGAAATTACTTTAGCCTTTCTCTTCCTGTTTCCTCATCTATGAAATGAGTACAACAGGAGTATCAACATTATGAGGAACATTAAGAAAGTTAATAGTGCAAAGTACCCTATTATTAATAGCACTATGCCTGTCACATAAGCCCCCAATTCTAATCTATCCATGTTATACTACCAAATCAATCTTGCAGACTAAGTCATGGCTTTCTTTATGTCAGTCCCTGCTACCATTTCTAGGGGGTCCTTCCTGACCAATAAAGTCAATAAATACTTTTATCACATCAGGTCCTCTGTAGCTGGTGCTGACAGCAGCCTCAGCATTTTTACTGCATTTCTTCCTGCAAGTATACTACCATGGCTCAGCCAAAATGAGCAAATCATAGCTTTAAACACATTCTCCCTCCACTATCCCAGAAACCTACCCTTTGTTCACATAGGCCATTCCATTTGTAGTTATCTTCCCTCTATTGGCTGAAATCCTACCATTCAATCAGGTCCCTCTGAAATTTTATTTCTTCAACTAAGTATTGATTCATCTTACATGGAAACTCAACCCCATTCTTAAATCACACGATTTTATGGACTGGAGTTAAGAGTACATATGTAGAAATCCATATGACAATGAGACATATGCTTAAGTTTTCCAGGAATGAACAGTTTGCATTCCCAATGTAAGTGCATCATTTGTAGTTGGGCACATAAAAACTGTTAAGATGTGTAGTAGCCAGGCCCTCCCTGGTGGTACAATGGGTTAAAGCACAGCACTACAAAGTTGGCCCCAGCCACTGAAGCACAAGTTCAACTCTTGATGGTCTTTCATTTAGAACCAGCCAGGAAGATGGTCCACATGGTGCTGCAGACCTCTCCTGACCTGCCCTCTTCTTCCCTCAGCAGTATACTTGGTCAGTCTGCCTGTTCTGCTCCCTACTCTGTCTCTGGTGAATCCTCTCAATGCCCCATCCCCTGCACTTCTGGCCTATATCTGTATACATAAATAAATAAATCTTAAAAAAAAAAAGATGGGCAGTAGCTATGTCCCCACACTGGTTAGTAAAATGCTAAATGGCTATTGTTCAGGACTATAGTGCAGGTGTATTAGCACAAGGGAAAAAACACATCCTTTTCCCTTTCCTTACAAAGTACCAGTTCTATGCAAAGTCACAGGTCCAGCAAACCACTGGACTTCTACAGCCTTGTGTGTACCTTGATTCATAGCCCATTTAGGTTTGTTCTAACTGCTTCCTGGAAGAACACACTGTTTCATAAAGGCCTGTATTCCCCTTCCAGCTCTTAATCTACATAAAATCTACAGGACCCCAGAGCCATTGATTGCCTTCTCCACATTCTATGGCATCCTCCTCCCCACCAACCTGTTCTAAATGAAAGAACATCAAGAGTCGAAAAGATGAACTGAAACAAAATTGCTGTTGGTGAGGAATCTACCTTTGTTGTTTTACAGAATATTAGAATTTTCCAGATGGTTTCAGTGGTATCTGAGCAGCAATCACAAATGGGTAGTTACTGAAGTATTTCTTACATAACAGAATCAAAAGATAAACTGAACTTCATCAAAATTATTTAGGCTTTGTGCACCAAAGTCCTTCACAAAATTGTGAAAAGCAACCTATAGAATGGAGTGGGGAAATTGCAAATCATATCTGATTAAGGGCGTGAATATAAATAACTCTTACTTTAAAAATGATAAATAATCCAACTTTTACAATACAAAGGATTTCAATAGACATTTTTCCAAGAAGATAATACAAATGACCAATAAGCAAAAGCAAAAGTGCTCACCAGCATGTTATTAGAGAAACATAAATGAAACATACCAACTAGGTGACTATCAAGTAAAAAGAAACAAATGAAGAAAATGACAAATGTTGGCAAGTTAGTGTAGAAATTGAAATCCTTTTCACTGCTGATGAGAACGTAAAATTGGTCTGACTTCTGTGAAAAATAGTTCGACAGGTCTTTTAAAGGTTTAACACATAATTATAATATGATCCAGTAATAGTAATTTCACTTCTAGGTATGTATTCCAAAGTATTAAAGGCAGGGACTCAAATAGATACTTATACACCAATGTTCACAACAATATTATTTAATAGCTAATAGTTAGGTGGAAGCAACCTAAGTGCCCATCAACTGACAAATGGATAAATAAAATATGATCTACCCATGCAATAAATTGTTATTCATTCTCTAAAAGGAATAAAGTATTAGTAAATAGGTATAAATATATCAACATGCTACATGAATATACCTCAGAAACACACTAAGAAGCCAGACACAAAATGCCACATATTACAAGATGCCATTTATGTGAAATGTCCACATAGACACATCTATAGAGGCAAAAAAATAGATGAGTATCTTCTAGGGGCTGAGGAGAAGGAAGTATACAAAGTGACTGCTTCAAGGAAATGGGATCTCCTTTAGGGGTGATGAAAATGTTTAGCACCTAAATAAAACTGATGCTCATACAATACTGTGACTATACTAAAAATTACAAAAGTGTACATTTTAAATGGATAAATTTTTAGTGTTTGCATATATCTCAACAAAGTAATTGTTTTAAAATAAAACAGACAGCTTCCTACAAAATCCTTACTAACTTCCCTTGAAAAATCATTGTGATCTTATACCAGGTATCCACAGAGTTCCTCATGACAAATCTCAGTTGGAGCTAAAGCTGGCCTTAGGACCACCTAACGCTGAGCCTCACTGGGCAACTTTTTAGATTAGATTTTTATGAGGAGCCAATGAACTGTTCAGAGGCGTCAATGAAATAATATGCTAAGAACAGTATGTGGCAATACTAAGTGTTTATTAAGTATTGGTTACTTTTATATTTTATGATACCTAATCTGACTTATAATAAAAATGAGTGGCATTCACATTTCAACTTTTTTTATTTTTACAAATGAAAATATCGCCTATAATGTAGCAGTTCAAAAGAAGTAGAAAGTCATGATACAAGTTTTTAAAAGCAATATGCCAAGTACTATATATAACATGCACCTAATTTGTACAAAGTAATAATGATGAAGATGGGTATGTGCATAGAAATGGTCTAGATAATTCTGTATTCACAGCAGTAAGTGAAAGGCTATTATTAAAGGGGCTTTTTATTGACATACATTTTTATATAATGTTTAAATTTTTCCAGCTTTATTGAGATAAAACTGACACATAACACTTGCAAAAGTTTAAAGTGTCTAACATGATTAGACGTACACATTATTGTGAAATGGTCACAATACAGTTAGTTGACACACCCATCACCTCAAAGAGTTAACTAAGTAATTTAAGGCAACAAACCTCATAAATAGGAATTATAGTATTTTTTTTAAAGAGGTACTCAATTTATTTTGGTTGATATCTTTTTGAGAGAATGTTTTAATAAAGTCCTGTCAGGTGAATAGCAATTTTACAAAATAATAAAATCAGGGGCCATCTGACTTGCTCTTAAAGTCAGCCCTTCACTGGAATTCCCAAAATAATGTAATTCTTCAGTGTTCATTATGGAGTTTGTGATGCTGTATTTTTTAGCTAGTAACAAAAAGATTCTAAACTCTTTGGCCTGGCAGTCAAGACCTTTCACTATCTGGTCAAACAATCCTTTTCCTGGCTTTATCACCCAGCACTCCCTCTTACAAAACTGCACTCTACCTAAAACAACCCATGAAATAGGTAGTCCTCAAATAATATTCCATTATATTTTTAAATTGAGCTAAAATACACATAACATAAAATGTACAACTTTAAAATGTACAATTTAGTGGCATTTAGTCCATTCACAATGTGATGTCCCCTTCACCACTATCTGGTTCCAGAATATTTCCATCACCCCAGCAGGAAACTCAGAATCCATTTAGCAGTCAATTTCCATCTCCATTCCTCCCAACTTTGGAAACTGTATCTTTCTGTCTCTATAAAGTTGTTTCTTTTGTCTATTTTATATAATTGACAAGATGTAATATGTGGCTTTTCCTCTATGGCTTCTTTAAGAGATTCATCAATGTCATAGCAGGTCAGGAATTTGTTCCCCTTTTTGGCTGAATAATATTCCAATGTGTGGCTACACCACCATTTAGTATGGCTTACAGACATTTGAGTTGCTTCCACCTTTTGGCCAATGTAAACTATTTCATGCCATTATCTTTTTTCTTTCATCTTTCTTCAGCTTCATGTACTAGTTGAAGTCTAGCCTACATTTGAGTTTCAGATCAATTCTTACCCTCCCCAACTTGCCTGCCCAAAGTTCTCACTTTCCTTTTGAGTTCCTTTACCACTTCTATACTCTAGGTAACTGTCAGCAGAAGGCAGAACTCCATGGCTTTATTTAGGTTCACTCAAACTGCTTTTTAATTAGTTGCTAACATCAAAAAAACTCCAGGAAAAAATCATTAAACATTTCATTTCCCTTAAAAATTTGGAAGATCTGCCAACATCATCATTTCATTCTGCATTATTACAACAGCACAGTTTAAATGATCTCACTGTCTCACCCTTGGTCCCTAATGATTATATCAATATAGTGACAACAGTAGTTTTATTTAAAAAGAAGTGAGACTCAGAAACTTTCAGTGGCCTCTTACTTCTCTCAGAGTAAAAGCCAAGGCCTACTGGATGTCCTATGAGGCTATGTACACTAGCCTACCACTCTCCAGCTTGCTTGCCCATCTCTTTCTCCTTTCTGTTGTTTGGACAGTTAGGGTCCTGTGTTCACTCCATCCCCTGATGAGATAACTCATTGTTCTACTCCTTCACTCTTAGCGCTCAGATCTTGCATTCTCAAAAAGTCCCACCCTGACTACCCTTATTTAAAAATAAGGGTAAAAATCAGCACTTCTGATTCCCTTATCCTGTTCTTTCTACCCACTCATCATCTAATATAATGTATAATAATATATTTACTTACTACACTTACTGCTATCTGTTCCTTTCTATTAAAAGGGTAAATGTCACAATGGCCAAGGTCTTTTGTCCCTTTGGTTTACTAGTTAATCTCCAGTATCCAGAAGACAGTATAGCATGTAGGTAGGCATACAATAAATACATGTTGCATAGATACTGGGTCTGCAATCAGCTGGCAGTGACAAGGGATTGTCCTTATAGCTTGGTCATGAATTTCCCAGTTTCTCAAAGTTCCACCTGGCCTACTTCATTCCCGCAGCTCTCTGGTCTCTGTAGACTTCAGTTTGTGACACTTCCTTTTCTGCCTCTTGTCACTGAATTCCAGAATAGCATTCTTACTTCCAGAATATTTTTCAGCAGAATAGCATTCAAATGAGCATAAGTCTAACTGCAGTATTTGGAAACCACCTATTTTTCTCCTTCCACCCCAAGAATAATCCTAATACACATAGCTATAATGTTATGGACTAAAGAAATCCTATGACATTTCTGTCAAACATGTTTCTGCTCTACCTTCCCGTTCCAGATCCCATCAGTGTAAATTAATGTGAATCCACCATCTAGGAAAGTCCTGCTTCTCTGGCACTTTCCAGACATTTCACTATGAATGGTGTTGATGATCACTGAAAGAAATCTCTGTAATGCTGACCTTTTGGCTTTATGACAGCAAATATTACGGCCCTATTTTGAAGGCAGAGATTTTATAGTTGCCCAGTATAGTTGTCTTCACCTAACTAGAATTGCCACATCTGTCCTGAAGCTCCTGTTTCCCTTTGTTAACAGTCAAATGTTATCTTCACAGACTGCTACCAGTCTGAGGTATCATGTTTGTTGCCAAAGTAGGATGACCAACTTCAGAGACTGATATTTCTTTGCTTTGTCTTGTTTGGCTTCTGTTTAAAGTTTTATTCTTCATGACCCATCTTAAACAGTAACTTAATTTTAAGCTCCCTCATTGCTTTCAGAAGAAATTGGAGATCAGATCTTTTTTCTTTTAAATCAATATTCCCTCATTAATTTTCCTCTTACACACTAGGTGAAACTTAACCACCTGCCTCCTCAAATAGTAAATGCACAATGGTGAACATGTAATGAGAAATTCAACTAATGGTGGCTGTTGTTTCTGTAAAGATTTGGGACTGCTCACAAGCACAGAGAAACTGGAAGGCTGGGCAAAGAGCAAAGACACTAGGCCCAAAGAACATGCCTAAAGAGTTCCTGCCTATTTTACAATTTGCTTTAGGATCTTCCTTGCCCTACCTTGCTTATGTGAAGAAAACAGGTGCTAGGGAAAGAAGAATGGGAAAGAAACACAAGAGAACATCTTAGGCAAATATAGATCTGGATTGGGGTTGTGGGGTTTTTCTGTCTCCCAAGTCTTCCTGTAGCTTATTAATAAATTTGGGGTGGGAGGCAGTGGTTATTTAGCAGTTTTTGTTTTAACAAACAGCTAATATTGTACTCCTAAATTTACCATCATTTTATATTAGTAAAGGTTATATGTAAAATGTGAGATCTTACTCTGATACCTTAAATATTTTAACTATCCTCTTTTGATAAAACTCAAATTCTAATATAATCAGAAGGACTGCATTTATTCAGCATTTTCTGAACAACCAGTTACCTTTTCTTTGGAGGGTAAGCCAAAAATCTTGATTGTTTTACCAGTGATTCTTCATCTGCTGTGATTATGGAATCTCTTTCTTCTTAATTTTATTCAGATCTACAAAAAGAAAAGGGCAAAAGTTTCTGAAACAATGGATAAAGCTAAAGAGAAACGTACAGCCTCATTATTTCCCATATGTTTCAAAATTATTATATGTGCTTTGAAATGTCAAAGTGTTAAAATTTGAAACTTTACCAATTTTACCATAAATGTAACTTTTTTTTAAAATGAACTTAATTGGCTGTATTTGCAATAAAGTAAGAACAAATGATTTCAATATGTATAAGGTGTCATTCTCCTGGGGTTTAAGATATCTTCACTCTGTGGAATTTGCTACTAATAAGATTTTCCTTATTTTTTTAAATGGCCATTCAGAAAGCCTACTCCTATGAAACTGATGAAACTGTCAGAATCACAGATATAAACATAAGTACCACACACACACACACACACACACACACACACACACACACACACACACACACAGAATGAGATTATTTGGAGAGTTTACTCTATCCTGCTATCCTTTATCATTCAACAGTGTATAGAAACAATTCATACAACCACAAACAGACAAAAAACTCAACTAAACCATTTTCTTAAAAGCCCAGGAAATTATGCCTCCCATTATCTACATAGTTTTGTAGCTATGTGTTTGTACATATATATTTCAAATAGAATGTGGCTACCATATGAATTAATTTGGGGAGAAGCAGTCAGTGGGTTGAGGAGTCAAGAGACCAGAGATTAACAAACCAGAGTTAGAAATTAAGCTGAATTTTTAAGCCTGATTTTGCAGCAAAAGAAAAACAGCAAGAATAGGAATGACAAAGCTAGGGACAAAGCTAGGGAATGACAAAGCTAGGGAACAATGTATAAAGCACAAGAGAGGCTAATTTCATATGAAAAATTCACTAATAGTACATTTTTTTTCTGGATATATAATCCCCAGCAAGACCAAGAAGCGGTAGTATTACTTTGCTCAACCTTCTTTATTATCACATACTCAAGACGGCAAATCAAATATTTCTATTCGAGATACTAAAAAATAATTCTGAAAGTGTGTGGTTGAAATTCATGCTAGGTTTGAACATTAATTCATAATGATCTTTATTGACTTCTAAATTATTTCTGAATTATATCTTTACCCTCTTCTTTTTAGTTCTAGTTTTATTTACCCACACAATGTTATTCAGTAATGTAATCATTCTATAAAGTAACCACTCCTACAATCTTTAACAGTCAGATGCTGCTTCTACAGATTTCTTATTCCTACCCAGTGCCCTATCTTTTAGGTATTTCCCTCTCACTAAAGTAGTGTTGCCTCTCTGCCTTGTTTCCAATAAAAGTTACTATCATGCTTAACATGTCTGTTCTCAGCCAAAAATAATTTCTTTGTATTCTAAACATTTTACAACTAAGCAAAATCACTCAAAGGAATCTACAAATTATTAGGATAGAGAGAGCCAATAAAGATGTTCTATTAGAGATAAGATAACCATTCACCTCACTGGTGGTGATTCCTTCACAGTAGAGTGGAGGTGTAGGCGAAACAACACCGCATCAGATTAGAGTCAATGCTTGATCTTATTGCATTTCACTAGGTCAAGCTATTTTTCAGTTTTTCTATCAGGATGCTCCAGCTATATCGCCAAAGTATCCAAGGGCATCATTAGATTTTTAGGTACCATGAAATCTACCCTAAGACAGTGCTTCCCTTTTAAAGAATTCTCCATTAACTACTCTGTGTGCTTTTTAAAGGAAAACCCCATTCCTATAAAAAATGGTACTGGTAGTAACTAAAAATAAGTATTTACAAACAGTAACTTCTCTGCTTAGATTGGGATAGAGAACTCTAGTAGG